AGACTTGTAGGATGGAGCTGTGAATGGAGCATCTTGAGGAAAATTGAGCAGTACAAAGTATTGATCATGTCACTGGCTGATAATGTCTTATTCACAGTTTAGAGGGGGTTTTTTTTGTTGCTTTTTAAAGAAATACAGTATTTCCATAGATAAAAAGCAGAAGGGTGTGTTGTGTTTGTGTCTGGTCACCATCTTTAGGTATATGAGAAGGTTAGAATGGCCTCAATAAATTATAATCATATACAGAATCTAGTTTGAAAAGATATGAAATAAGCAAATGCTTATTACCTATACTGTTTCATACGTATTAACACTGCACTTGGAGTGCTTGGAGTCTTTAAAGATAGAGCCCTGCCATAGTATCGTTTTCCTTTGGGCTAATAAATTGGGAGATTGTGTTTAGATAGTGCTTTTAGCAGGTCCACTGAGGAGTGAGGAAGTTTGAAGCATATTCTATGACTCACCCAGGTCTTTACACGTGCATTATTTAGTCTTAAATCTCACAGACGTTGTTACTGCTTTTTGAAGTGAGGAGGGGGAAAGTTAAATGCTTCACTATTTAATGCTACTTCCATTTAAGGATTTTCAGATGTAAAAGAAAAGAAATGGGGTTTCATGTCTTTTACTTCCCCGCACTTAAAAACTTTTATGATTGCTTGGCATTCGTCAGGCGGAAAGTAGATGGCAAGTATGTTCTTGAAGAATTCTAATTATTGCTATTTCAGGTGGAAGAGAGACTCTAAACTGGACACATGAGGTTTTTAGGATGGTAGATTTGCTTAAAAACCATTTTTATGTCTTTTTTGGGGGGGGGATGGAAGCATGGAATGACCACCTGGTATTTTGTGCCTGTTTGTTTTTAGGAGAGGGGAATTAGTAGACGTTAAACATGAATGTGTCTTTTAAAGTTTTTTTTTCGATGATATGAGCAATGGTCTTTGTTTTCATTACTATTTTTCCTCTCATAAAACCAGAGAAACAAGCCACTGGAATGCCAAAAAAACATTTATATCCATTTTCTGACTTTTATTTCCATGGAGAATAGATGGAGGAGAGCGCTGAGGAGCGAAGGGCATGAGTTTACACACGTGTGTGTGTGTGTGTAGCTGTACCTACCTACACGTGTGTGTGTGTGTGTGTTTTGACATAGTTCCAGATTTATTTGCTTTTTTCCTTTCAGGAATTGTATCTTTCTTTAACCTGGGCTGTCACAACACTGCGAAGGGTTAGTGTAAAGAGAAGTGCAGGTTTGGATGAGCTCTCTGTGTAACTGCCTACAGCAGTGCCGTTGTGTTCAGGAGATTCTGTCTTTAGACTTCTGGGGAATCTTTGACATAGTTCCACATTTATTTGCTTTTTTCCTTTCAGGAATTGTATCTTTCTTTAACCTGGGCTGTCACAACACTGCGAAGGGTTAGTGTAAAGAGAAGTGCAGGTTTGGATGAGCTCTCTGTGTACCTGCCTACAGCAGTGCCGTTGTGTTCAGGAGATTCTGTCTTTAGACTTCTGGGGAATCTGGTTTGTAATCCCACAGGTGACAAACTGCAGGTCACTTTGAATCTGCTAGAGAAAATAGGAGACAGTGGAAGATGAATGTGAAGTCGTGTCTTGTCAAAGAACAGGTCTCAATATAGCACTACATTTGGTTAAATAAAGCAATATATAGTTCATAAGAGATTGATATTTGTATCCCTTGCTGTTAAATATAACCACGTTTATGTTAATTTTGAATAAATCTATTGCTGAAAGGCAATCTGCAAGCTTCAGAATCTGAATTTGCAGGTTATTTTGGGTTCAGAAACAAGCTCTAGTTGCTGAGGCTGGTCTTCTGAGCTTTGTGTCATAAGCTACGTGATATTGTCTATGGTCATCACAGTGTAAATCCACTTTATGTGCTTATATATCCTTTGACTCCTGACTAAGTCTGAGTTTCTTCATGTGACGCAGTGTTACCACAGGGAACTTCTTTTATGTGGTTTATCAACACTTAAACAACATTCATTGTATAAGATTATATGTTGTTGTCGTCGTCAAAGAAAAACTTGTTTTGCTAATTTTGATTGCAAAATACACTTGAAAATTCTTTCGAATCGTAGCAGAAACTGCCTCAAAATACTTTTCCAAGTCATAAAAAAAAATATTTGTTCGTGGCATTTATTTTTTTGGTTGGTATTTCTCAGTTAATATTCCACAGTGGAAGATGTCGAAGTAATTAAGCATTCAAAGAAGGAGCAGTTAGCAGGTATAATGTTGTCAGACTGCACTTAATGTGAACGTGCCCGTGACCTCCCAGACAGATCAAAGCCTAATCTGTCTGACAGCTACAAGATGGCAGCACTTGCCACGGGCCTTCTGCCGCTGCTCGCCCAAGCTATTTGTCTGTAAAGCATGCCTCAGAGCTAAGGGTATATTTTTAAGGATGAACAGGTAAAAGTAAAAGGCTGTCTTTTGACATTTTAACTAATCCCTTCTAGCCTGTGGTTTACTGCGCATTTAGGATATTTGCTAGCAGGAGGGACTGGCTTTTTCACATATGTAACATGTCATTTTGAATCGGGCGTTGGGTTGATGCTTGATAATGTAAGAGTTATACAATGAAATAGATTCTGATTGCATTAAAATGACATGCCCTGGCCTTTTACCTTTAGTAGACTTCTAATGCAAACTGAACTCTCAGCGACGTAAGTTGTCATCTCGAGCTGAGACACCGTGGTTTAAGTGAGAAAACAGAATGTTTGTTTTCTGTTAACCCTGTTTAAAATTAAGAGAGAAAAGATAGGTTTTAGAGATACGTTACACATTTAGACCAAAAGAATATGGATTTTTTGTATCATTTGAGAGATGAGAGGCCGTTGTTGATGTGCAGTCCAAGCAGGATACATTTGCATAATGCTAACGTGGATTAGGAGAATGTAGAAGTAAAGTCATTTATTCACGGGGCAATGCAATACAATGCAGGGGACCTGACTGGCTTGGCTTCTCCTGTTCCTTCAGTGGTTTTATGCACTGAAATCTTAATTAATACCTTAAAAAAGGTTATTTTTATCACTATAAGACATGTGACTAGTTACTCTAATACTAATTACAGCCTGCTAGTGAAGTAAGAAACTTTTGGCTTCTTCTGTTACTTCAGTGGTTTTATGCACATGATTAAAAAAGGTAATTTTTATCAGTATAAGACACATGACTAGTTACTCTAATATTAATTACAGCCTGCTAGTGAAGTAAGAAACTGCGGTGAAGCTACGTTTGTTAGAATTGGCCAAAATCCTCCTGATAATGGAAATTCTTCTAAGGAGGAAATTGTTAGAAAACGTACCAGGACTAAACGACAAATGCAAATATGGTCAGGAATATATTGTCATTAGCAATGCTTTAAAGACTTTAATGAAATTTTCCAACATCATACCAGACAAATGCAAAGTATGGTCAGGAACATATTGTCATTAGCAATGCTTTAGAGACTTTAATGAAATTTTCCAACATCATACCTCATTTCAAATGGTGAGGAATACCCTTTTGTTTCCCCAGGTGGTATTTCCATTTGTAGAAATGCACAGAAAAGCTTAAGTTCCTTTTTAAAGAATGGTTTTAATGTTCACGAACCGTTCAGAAGGAATCATCTTCGGTTTTGAATATTACAAAGGAAACCTCACATGCCAGTCGATAAATTCTGAGTGACTGGAACAAATATTAAATCTGTGAAATCAAACTGAATTTACTTTCTGGCTGTAAAGATTGAATTTGTAAATTTGACAGGCAATTTAAAGGGCATAAGTACATAAAATAAAATTTCTTACCCAAATGCAACTTGAAAGTTACCTGTCAGAAGAGGTTAGAAGTCTGCTGGTTTCTCTCCTGAAGCGTGTCCTTTCACTTGTCAGTTTAGAAAGGTTAATACTGTACAAAAGAGCAACGGAAAGACCCTTTTTGGTGTAGTTTTGTGTTTGTTTATTTTAAAAAATATATTCAATCATCCCCTCTCCAAATAATAAATTCTCTTGATGCACACTGGAACATATATTAAATCATCTCCTCTCCCAATAATAATAAATTCTCTTGATGCACACTGGAACTGTGTATAATGTCAAAATACAAATTCTTGTTCAAATTCAGACGGGGCATTGGCTGTGTAGTTATCCATACGGTTAGGAAGGGGAGGCAGGGGATTTCTTGTGCAGTTGATATCGAGGAGATTGATTGAAGCAGGAGGAGAGAACGTTTTTAAAAAAAGGATGAGCGTGCCCTTTTCTGCCTTCCCCGAGCCTGTGGGCCTGCAGCCCTTCACTGCTGCCTGTGCTTCACATTCACCCAGTGAAACGTTGGTTTCCAAACTGTGGAAGGTGATGCCAAGCTCAGGATTTGAGCTGGTGTTGCTGGTGCTGGAACTTTGGCCAGACCACTCTGTCTCTCAAGTTTGTTCTTAGCTCCTGGAGAAGAAGGGGTTATATTTGCTTAACCCTCACTTGGGAAAGGTATGGTCTGGTCCCAGCGAGAGATTAGGAGTCAGCATTTATGATAAAGGAAGGATAAAGATATCCGTTGTATCATTTATTTCCAGATGAGCAAATAGAACTGTAGTTCCCTCACTTGGGAAAGGTATGGTCTGATCCCAGCGAGAGATTAGGAGTCAGCATTTATGATAAAGGAAGGATAAAGATATCCGTTGTATCATTTATTTCCAGATGAGCAAATAGAACTGTAGTCTAATCAGTCCATTTACTTGTATTGGGGTTTTTTTTGACAGATTATCCTTTCCTCACTAGCAGAGAGATTTGGTAAGTGTGTGCTTGTTGTGTTAATACATGTAAATCATTGGAATAGGTCACACGTTAGGACTAACTTGAGAAGGGTAAAAGCTGTAAAAATACACAATGGAAACACTGAAGCCCACTTTACATATTCACTTATTTAATCAACGTTTGCTTGTTTTCCCCTTTTAGAATATTTCCTTTTCAACGTCGTTGTTAAAAACCAATATTTTATGTTCTCTTCCTTAGGTTGAATTAAAGAGGAAATACAATGACCAGCACAAAAATACAAGAGGCCTTTTACCAGGGAGTCACTGGTATGAAATTCAAGCTTACAGGGCTCTGAACCAGGCCCTGGGAAGGTGAGATAAGCTGAACGTAATTAAAAATATATGTATTTGTAGAATTTTTTGTGTGTGTGTTATATCTTTAAGGATTAATTCCTCACTGTTAACACAGAGGTGATAAATCAGGCCAAAACCCTCACATTGCAGAAATCAGGTCTTCAGCTGTTCTTCTCAACATCATTATTAAAACCAATATTTTATGTTCTCTTCCTTAGGTTGAATTAAAGAGGAAATACAATGACCAGCACAAAAATACAAGAGGCCTTTTACCAGGGAGTCACTGGTATGAAATTCAAGCTTACAGGGCTCTGAACCAGGCCCTGGGAAGGTGAGATAAGCTGAACGTAATTAAAAATATATGTATTTGTAGAATTTTTTGTGTGTGTGTTATATCTTTAAGGATTAATTCCTCACTGTTAACACAGAGGTGATAAATCAGGCCAAAACCCTCACATTGCAGAAATCAGGTCTTCAGCTGTTCTGTGCTGGCAACTGTCTGGTTCTCACTGTTTTGCCTTTGAGTGTTGTTCTAATTCAGAGTTTTTGTTTTACATTCAGAATCCACTTTCGTTTGGTTGCAGATATTATTGCTTGTGGTCCAGTTATACAGAAAGGAAAGCATTTGCAGAGACAAGTAGTTCTTGAACTTACAAACCAAGTGAAAACTCCTGAGGTCTTTTCAAATGCACTAATCGTCCACACTCGCGGTGGGCTCAGAACAGTTGTTTGATGTTAAGGCTACAAGTATTTTTGAAACGAAGAAATATTGGGGTGGGGGGTGATTCTCAGCCCTTTACAAAAGGTCAATTCAATTATCATGCTCACTGATCTCTTTGCAGATTTAGCAGAAGTGGTATAGCTTATTTACTTGAATGAAAAAATTCCCCCAAATTTTATTAACAGTATAGAATTAATTCATCCTTCTCCCACAAAATTTATCATATACATAGATAGAGCTATCTATCATAGATGCCATACATCTGTCATAGAGGTACAGACATAGATTTATAGATAAGAGGAGAAATATCAGCTGGAAGACTCTGATTTGAATTAGACCGAATACAAACATGATGATATAAATACAGGATTAGAAAGAAAACTGAGAGAAACTAGTCTATGTAGTAAAATCTCATTGTAAATTCTTGTTACAGGTCTGACTTCTTAGATTAGACTTTGGAGAGTAAAAGCATTAGTTAAATAATTTTAAGAACAATTAAAGTGGTGAAATGCTAATAGTAAGAAATGAATTTGAGGTTTTGTCACTGTGAAATAAGTTTTAACTTAAATCTAGTTTTAGTGAAAACTGCCTACTTTATAATTTATCGTTTGAATGAAATTATGCTGGTCTAAAGTTAAGTGGAGAGAATAGACTTCCATTCTGATACAAATATATGAATTGTCTATAATACCATTAGGCTAAGCTGTCAGTAAACTGAGCTTTGGCAAAGGATGACAGCGTATGATGACTATTTTTATAAAAGCAGAGCAGCGCACTAAGCCGATACCGAGTTAATAGTAGGCAGGCAAAGCTGCTTACTGCAGACATGCCTGGGGGGACAGAAGGGAGCAGAAGCCTTCCAGTTTGGCACTTTTCTCTTAATTTAGTGCTGTTACATTAGATGAAGTAACTATATGAAGTAATTGTATGAAATGAAATAGCAGCCTTTGGGAATATAACTGCTGGGGTGTGTGGCCAGGTGACAGTCACACCATGAATTCCTTGCAGTCCTACTTTTTCTGAAAGTGTAGGATATGTCTCTAGTGGGCATAGTTCATTGAAACTATGACTTAAAACAGTTATTAAAGCAATTACAAAAATGAGAAGTTGGAAGAAATCTGTTTCTTAAAGATGTTTTGGTACATTTTCTTATCATGGAGAGACTTCAAATATAATATTTCTTTGAAGAGTCAGCCTTGTTGCTCCCATTTTACACCCTGACTCTGACACACTTGGGCTTTTATGTACATTTGTAAACATCATCTTTAACAGTTGTCCTCTTCTTATACAATTGGGATAATAATCCTAAACTGTTACTGACAGATTCTTTTCCATATTTCATTTCTATTATTGCTGTTCTTTAATAGCTCTTTTTTCTGGCAGGCAGTGGAGGACCATAGCTCTTTTTTCTGGCAGGCAGTGGAGGAATCCGTGTTAAAAATAATATCAGTGCATGTAAAGTGCCTATTGGATTATTTCTGTAGGCCTCTAACAACTGAATTATGAACTCAACAGTATCACTCACAGCTTCAGGCTGTAGCATTATTCATTTTGTTACTAAAGGCAGTTAGGAATAACATACCGCTTAGTTATTTGAAAACTGTTTGCGATTACATGAGTCCATTTTATTTTCTTTTACACTTTTAGAGTGGGAAATAAATGTGATATGGTTGATTAGTTGCTAAATATTTATGTGGGTTCTTTTTAAATTTACCTTTTTTGTATAGTAAATTTAAGAAGAATTAAGAAGAAAATTAACCTTCCATGACATCCATAACAATTTTTAATGCAAAACAGTAGGAGAGAACCTCCTCTATATACTTGCATATTGCAATCCCTGTTGTATGATCCCCACAGTGTTTTGCCATGTGCACTCTAACTACATATACACTCCTTTTTGTTGCTCACTTCTAGGTGTATAAGACACAGGAATGACTGGGGTGCTCTTATTTTAGTTGACGACCGCTTCCGGAATAACCCTAATAAGTACATAACTGGTAAGCTGTAAAAATCTTTCTGGGAAAGATCCTAATATTAATAAATAGGGGAAAATTAAGATTACAGAAATATGGTTGTACAAATACAGGTGAGTAGGAAAAGTCATAATCAAATGTATCCATTGAACTCAGAATTGTGCAGTTGAAATTGAAAACTTCAGAACTGTGCCCTGGTGTATTGCTATTTCATTAAATATACTGAAACATGTTGATACCAGGATTCAGTCTATTTAATTTCATTCCCCTTTTGGATATCCAGGTGCTGATATAGAAATGTCAGGATGCAGAATTTTAGAATTTTCTTAATATGTGACCTATAAAACCTTAAGGACTCTTGATCATTGCATATGAAATATATATAATGTGCGTAGGCAGTTGTGTGCGTGTGGATATATATTTATGTATTAAAAAAAGTAGTCACTAGATTTTTATTTGGACTTTGGGTAAGTCTCTAGTGAATGTATACTTTTAGTCTATAGGGAGCTTTAATGCTTAGGGTTTGCAGTCTGGATTTAACATCCTGGCTTTTTAGGTAAGAACAGGTAAAGGTTGTACCATTCCTATTACGGAACCACTAAGTATTCAATATGCAAAAAGTATTTTCTGTTCATAGTTTTATACTCGCTAGAAATAATTGCAGATAAACTACATGGTGCATGCTATCTTAAATACTATTTAAAAAAAAATCAAAAAAGAAATTGTTTAGGAATGCATTCTGTATCCTTGTTTGTGCCTTGTTCAGAGGAGATGGGCACAAAGCTGATGTAAACAGCTAATGCTGCAGAGTAGTCAGCAGGTGGAGCTCAGCTGCTGTGATACAACTCAGACCCTGTTCCAACATGTCTGTTTCTACTAAAAATACATCTAAATTGTTTAAGTAAACAGGCATAACACATACAGTAATACAAATAATCTTTATCTTCCCGATTTGGTACGATCGGTACTGTTTCTAAAAAGTAAAACTTCACAGAAGAATCAAGTTTTCTGGGTTTGTTTTGTTTTTTTTAATTGATACTAAAAGAATATTTAAATGGGTTTTAAAACACTTTTTTTAAAAACCAAGAAAGCTAGTTTTTACGTCACTCTTGTGTGTTTCAGCATCATCTAAACACCTGTTGTGCTCAAGGCACCTGGTATTTGAGAATTTTTAAAATGATTGCAGTATAAGAGCATATTGCATTATATTTTAGCTATTGGGCAGTTGCGATTGTTTCTGAATATCTGAGTTACTGTTGCTTAATCTGAAATAAAACTGTTAAAGCTTCATTATATTCTAATTTTTGTCAGACCCTGTCAGTATGATAATAAATTGCTGTAGTTGCTTTTTAATAATTAATGATAACAGGCAAAATGAACATCCAGGCATAAAAGAAATATGATGTTTTTGCAGTGCAGCAGTTGGAACTTCAAAAAGTATCGGTAAGAAAGGCGAAGGCCTTTTAACAGAAAAGAATAATATTGTTAATATTACTCATAAAAATACTACCATTGATTAAATCAAGTTCCTAGCCCTGGAAAGGAAGCCAAACATTATCTTACTTTCATGAGCAACTTGAAAATCTCTATGGGTCTGTCTATGCATATATAGAAGTGTTTCCAACATTAGGGTAATATTTACTGATGTGGAATATCTGGTATAGACGGTGTGGTTTTATATCTTCACGATTTGGAACGATCAGTACTGTTTCTAAAAAGTAAAACTTCACAGAAGAATCAAGTTTTCTGGGTTTGTTTTGTTTTTTTTAATTGATACTAAAAGAATATTTAAATGGGTTTTAAAACACTTTTTTTAAAAACCAAGAAAGCTAGTTTTTACGTCACTCTTGTGTGTTTCAGCATCATCTAAACACCTGTTGTGCTCAAGGCACCTGGTATTTGAGAATTTTTAAAATGATTGCAGTATAAGAGCATATTGCATTATATTTTAGCTATTGGGCAGTTGCGATTGTTTCTGAATATCTGAGTTACTGTTGCTTAATCTGAAATAAAACTGTTAAAGCTTCATTATATTCTAATTTTTGTCAGACCCTGTCAGTATGATAATAAATTGCTGTAGTTGCTTTTTAATAATTAATGATAACAGGCAAAATGAACATCCAGGCATAAAAGAAATATGATGTTTTTGCAGTGCAGCAGTTGGAACTTCAAAAAGTATCGGTAAGAAAGGCGAAGGCCTTTTAACAGAAAAGAATAATATTGTTAATATTACTCATAAAAATACTACCATTGATTAAATCAAGTTCCTAGCCCTGGAAAGGAAGCCAAACATTATCTTACTTTCATGAGCAACTTGAAAATCTCTATGGGTCTGTCTATGCATATATAGAAGTGTTTCCAACATTAGGGTAATATTTACTGATGTGGAATATCTGGTATAGACGGTGTGGTTTTGTAGTAACACTTTCTTTTTTTTTTCTTCTTCTTTTTGCTTTCTTTTTCTTAGGATTATCTAAATGGGTTCGTCAGCAAATCCAGCCTGTAGTAACACTCTCTTCTTTTTCTTTCTTCTTTTTGTTTTCTTTTTCTTAGGTTTATCTAAATGGGTTCGTCAGCAAATCCAGCACCACGAGAAGTTTGCCAGCGCGCTTGAGTCCTTGCGTGCGTTTGCTGTAAGGAACCTGAAAGGTGTTGCTGGTCCCTCAGAGTGCAGTGGTGAATTTCTCCACCTACCTTCAAATTCAAAAGACCTGTCACAAGCCTCTCAACAGGATGCAACTATTCATCTCTCACCAGATGTTCCTGCTAAAAGTGAGGAGCAAAATCTGTTTTCAGAAATTAATTCTGCTGCAACCATCAGTTCAGTGAATGCTACAGCATCCAATCAGCCAAGTAATGTCATGACAACAATGAAACCAAGTATGTTCATGTCCTGTGGAAAAAACTTCATTAACAACTTTCAATGTGAAGTTGTATCTTTTTCTAGAGAAACAAACGGTTTTTAAAATTACAGAAGTGCTGTGGTGCAAAATGATAATTATTCACAAATATGTATGAGCTGTGCTCAACAGACTAATCTTCATTCCGTCTGCTTGTCTTAAAACAATTGATAATGTTTGATAAGTTTATAGTGCAATCAAAAATGTTTCCACTCAAATTTCTTTTCAAAATTACGAAAAGAATTTAAGATATATATCAAACACATAAAGATTAGCGTTATTGCAAGATGAGTGCCTTGGTTCAAGCTACATCTGTTGTTTCAACATGAGACACCTTTCATATCATCTCTTCTGGTACCAGCTTTACAAGTAAATATCTATCCATTCCTAAATTTTAGGAAATCTTATGACTTCATTTTGGGCAACAAAGATGTAAATAACGTAAGAGCACATTAATAAAAAAATACAAATTTTAAACCCAGTCGTACTTTAACTTTACACACGCCAGTTAATCTATTGATTTAATTAAGACAATTCACGTGCAAAGATAGTTGTAACATCTGGGCTTTTGTTTGTATTGGATCTTAATGACTGTCATAAAGTAACTGTAAACCTAATAAAACAGTGGTAATTTTGATGTACTAAACATGCAGTAAATCAGTGGGGGGAAGGCATATACAATTAATTAATGTTTTGTGATTTTTCACAGGTGGCCAGAAAGTTGATGTACAGAGTCATTCTCACCATGTAACACAACGAAGAAAACATATGGACTCGACACCCAAAATGCCAGCAACTAAAATAGAGAGAGAAAAACAGAATGGTTGGACTAATTCTGATACTGGGAAAGAACATTGCTGCCTTAAACCACTGACTTCAACACCTTTGCCTGTAGCAAAGAGCTGCGCGTCCACAGCGAGTAGCAAACAAAAGAATGTGAATAGGGGCAGTGAACTTATTGACAGTGTAAATCAATGCCAGTCATTAATTTCAGAACATAAACCCAGTGTGCCAGAGTCACGTTTGGAAACAACTCATTTTGCAGTTACAAATACTGAGGCTCCAGTTGCTGAAGTGCATTCTGATGGGCTACAGCTTCAAGTTGAGCCCTGCCGTGAGTTCCGTTCAGCAGAAGGAAAATCTGAACTTTCAAAGTTAAACGTGTCTGCAGGAGCTGAGGATGAGGATGAGAGTATCTACTTCACACCAGAACTCTATGATGATGCAGAATCAGAGGAACAGAAAATCGAACCACAGGTTCCATCCTGTCATACAAATGAGAATCTGATTGAATGTGGAAATTCCACAGTCGCTGATGATCTTTTTGCAATCAACTCCTCAGAAACACTAAGCGTGACTAAAAATAAGATTGATGATGATGATGGTGGCAGAAGCGCACATTTACATGGAATAATGGAAACTGAGGGGAGTAAGAATAGTGCAGTGAATAAAGTAGAGATGAATAATGGAGTAGAAGCAGAGCAGGTAGCATCTCAGGAGATGGACACCAAGAAACGGAAAATCAGTCTTTCCAGATCACGAAATAAAGGTGTGTCATCTTTTCTATTGAACAATAGCAGCATTTAGGGACAGCTGCTGTAGGAAAGGTAGTGAGCAGTCTTTACAGAATTGCCTCACACGAGAGCAGGGATGCCTTTCAAGTTCTCATTTAATAGATGCTACTATCAGACTCGAGTTTTCATTATACTTTTTTGGTTTTCACTGTGGAGGTTATACAACGTGCAGTTTTCCATAGATATAATTCAGATTCTTCATCATAACTCTGTGGCGAAAGGACATCATGTGTGGAAATTCTAAATAAAAGCCCAAGTAGCGTTTGACTTGTAATTGTAGGCTGAGGAGGTTTGTCTATTACAGATTTAATTAATCCATAATTAAATACAATCAAAAATTGGGTTTTTCTCAGAAAGCAAAACACCCATGTAATCAGATTACGGTTTTCTGCATTTCTTAGGGCTTTTTTTATAAACTAAATATGCAGAACAGCACATTTGCAGATCAAGTAATATGATAGATTGAGCCCAGATACTGAAATAGCTTTATTCTTCAGAACTTTGTTTCCCTCAAATTTCTTTTGGGAAGATGTTTATCAGGAGCTGTGGGTAGCAGTATTTGAACATTTTGATATTTGATGATGAGAGGCTTCGTCAGAGATCTTTATTTTTTTATATATATATAAAAGTTGAAGTTTCTTTAAAATTTCCTTTTGTGAGAGGGTCTAATTTCTTTTGGTCAGGTTCTGTATGTATTCATATTGAAGTGTGTACTCATGTGCCCTACAAATGCATTTTCTCTGCAATGTAAATTTGTACATAAAGGTCTTTAAATCTTCCTCAGTCTACTTTTTTCTTTTTTTTTGGAGGTATTTTAAACATTTCTCTTGTTTCTTGCAATCAAAACAGCCAGGATTTTTCTGTAATAAAACATACTATGCCTGACTTTTCAAGAAAAGACTGTCCATTTCCATCATATATTGATGTGAAGATGTAGGATTTTTATAATCTTGTGGTTCATAAGTATTTGTATTTTTTGACTGAGAGCAGAGATTAAATTGTGAAGTGGTCATTTTTCATGGAAGTTCATCTAAAGAACATTCTGATGTCCACCCCTACAGAGCTGTGAATGTGTTCAAATCAATGGGATTTAAATTGTATCCTTTCTTTACACAATAAATGCATCCTTTATAAAATTAGATACTCTGTTTGCAAGAATGGTAAGAATACTGCTGAATTTCTGCGTTAGGCCTTATCTTGCAGTACTTGGCACAAGGCATTTGGTTAAACTTTTTATTGTACTGATGCCACCTAAGAATGATGTTTTCTTGGTTTAGGTTTCCTGGTATCGCTCAATCATTTGATGCTGATGGTTTTGAACTAGTTGACAGGGCAGAAGCAGGCTCTGATATTGACAGCAGTGTAAACATATGACATATCTCTATAGAAAAAATACTTAATTTAGACTGAAGTAACTGATTGAATAGCAGGACTTCGCGTGGGCATGGTTCTGTTTGGAACTGGCTTTGGGACTAGGAAAAGTCCCAAATCCCAGTAAATTCTGGGGCAGCCTCTGGCAGCTGACTTTGCAGCTACACTCCCAAGAGCTGCCCAGCCTGATCCTCCTGAGTCTCTGATGGCTCAGTTTTCTTAAAACAGGTCTTCTGCATCAAACCACCTTTTATGTTTACGTATATCTAAATAGATACTAGAAATCACTTAAGCTTTGAGGCTTGTCTGCTCATCTCACAGACCACAACCCCTTATTTGTCTTTCAGAAGATTTGTCTGTCTTTAAATCCGTATCTTTAAAAAAAAAAAAAAGAAAATCCATCTTCCTTTCCTTATCTGGAGCAGATTGCTCCTTTCTTGATCTTGTGTTGCATCTTACTTTGATTAGAAATCCTTTAAGACATGGCCTTCATGTCAAATATTTTGCTTTGGTTTACATCATCTATATTTTATATAAAATTATTCTTTAACCGATTTTTTTTTTTTAAAAATATGTATTGAAATTTCAGCATTTGGCCTACTAGATACTCGATTTTCCTTGAAAAATCTCTATCCACAAATTCCCCAGACTCCAATCCTGACAATAACTGTGTTGCTTGGGGCAACTGATGGCTAATAATCCTTTGTGTTACTGCTGGGGTTTGGGGGGTAAGGGAGGGACAGTTTCTTTTAGAACTGATAGCTAATAATCCTTGTGTTACTCCTGGGTTTTGGGGGGTAAGGGAGGGACAGTTTCTTTTACTGCAAAACCCGTGTAAATTCAATCTTAATTTGTCTTTATGTCTAACTAACTATGATATTAAATATGTTTGTGGTAAGAATATTCTATATTTTTGTAGTTAATATCTTTATGGTGATTCCCAATTTTAAATTAAGAACTGTGCTGTCCAGCTTGCAAATAGAAGAGCAGGGAAGTCAATGCACTTTGATATAATAATATGATCTCTTCCATTTCTTTATGTCTAACTAACTATGATGTTAAATATGTCTGTGGTAAGAATATTCTTTATTTTTATAGTTAATATATTTATGGTGATTCCCAATATTAAATTAAGAACTGTGCTGCCCAGCTTGCAAATAGCAGAGAAGGGAAGTCAATGGACCAACTTTCCTACAATTATTTGTTTTGACTTCCCAAATCTATAAGAACTAAATTACTGAAAAGCCCTTTCACACTTTGATATAATAATATGATCTCTTCCATCTAAAATAATCATAAAATCTTGAATTTATTAAAGGCTTGAAAGTTCAGAGACGATGCAGAAGAAGAAAAGCTCCAGTTAGGCAAAGTGGCTACACCTGTGAAAGAAAGGTACCCTGTGGATAGAATAAAGGACCTGGTTTAAGTGGCTGCTGTTGAATGTTAAGGTGCAAGGGAGATAAGCACAATTTATTATATAATCTTTTAAGTTAAATAGTACAGATGAAATAGCTTATTCATGGTCTGCTTGGTTTGCTCTATGTCTCTGCGATTCACACACTCAAAAGATACCTTTGTTTTCTCATGGGAAACAAAAAAGCTGAGTATTTTCAAGCCCTGTTAGCACAGGTAGAAGATATGGACTGTCAAACTCATTACAGTTGTGATTCCTGATTCAATATAAGCAGTGCTTCCGATTTCTGATTGGTACCGACTTTTTAGGGCAGGGTTTGCAAAGTGTAAGAATATAATTGAGCTGAAACTCAATGAGAGTTGGGCACCTGCCCTCCTTTGGGCTCCTTTGCAAAATTCCAAACTAGATCTGGGAGTTGGGCACCTGCCCTCCTAGGCTCCTTTGCAAAATTCCAAACTAGATCTGTGATAGTCTGGAGCATTATCAACTATAAAATCTCTCATATTTTATATGAAAATATTTCTAGTTAAGTTAGGTTAACCCTTTTTAGCATAGTGTGTGTTTTAATTATTAGCTGATATAAATGACAAACATCGATTCAAGTAGATTTCTTTGAGTATTTCAAGTACTATATTTTTCTGAAGCAGTTTTGATATATTCCTTTGTGTTTATAATTAAATGCTTCAATCTGCCTAGTTGCTATATGCAAACTAGTATTGACATGAATTTGCATATTGTCTTGTTAGAAGGAAACACGCCACCAGCCTTGCAAGAAAGGACTTTATTGTATTGTCTGTGGAGCTGAAATACTGCCAAAAGCAGAGGGTAAGATACTCGTGACTGGTCATTTGTTTCAGGCTGGGAATGACAGAATTTTTAATCCATCATTTTACTTTCACAGCTTTGGATACTGGAGGGATATTTTGGAATAATTGGTTAATTTCTCTACTGGATATGGTAACTAGGTAAATAGGTTGTTGTTAATGCACTGGAGATGAGCAGAAAATCTTTTTGGGGGAAGAAAGCGAGAGTTGTTACAATAACATGACTATTTTTACTTGGCATTTCAGTGAAAATAAGTTAATGTGATCTCTTTCTGGCATATTCCTGTTGCTTGATTCAGTGGTCCTGATTCATTGACCTATCTAGAAGCACAATGGGAGGCAGACTAGTATTATTTAAGAGTTAACTGAAAGCAACTGCTCCTGGTGATACAGGAGCCTGAAAGAAATTATTTGTAACGTAGTGGCGCGTTCACTGGGGTATGTTCCTTCTCAGGATTAGGTGTTAATTTGCTACCAGTTGCTGTGAGAAGTCTGGTAATATTTTGGCACAGTAACTCTGTGAATCTAATGCATGTTTTAACAAAACTATCAAAAGTTGTATTGAAAAAAAAAGACAACCTGTTTGATCACACTTGTTCTTCAATATGTAACCTATTAATACCTGGTATTAATTTAGTTTGGTTTTTAGTCCTCGGTTGACCCATTGTATGAAATGTGGATTATATGTTCTTGGAAATTGTCTCTGCAGTTTTGTGAGGCTCTTTAATTTGGAAAGCTCTACAAGCTGATAATGGTTATTGTTCTTCAATATGTAACCTATTAATACCTGGTATTAATTTAGTTTGGTTTTTAGTCCTCGGTTGACCCATTGTATGAAATGTGGATTATATGTTCTTGGAAATTGTCTCTGCAGTTTTGTGAGGCTCTTTAATTTGGAAAGCTCTACAAGCTGATAATGGTTAATAACAACTCTGCTACTTTTTAAAATGTACTCTATCTTCAGGCTACTGGGCCATGGGTGGTAATGACCTAATTACAAAATCATTGGTTATATGCAGAAACAATTAGATATAGACACTTACTACACTTAAACAACATATAAAACTTTGTTCTTCAGGAGAATTCAGGAAAGATTTAACTGGTCCCAGGTTTTAGAAATCTGAAGGTTAGATGACATTTGCTTCTGTGTTCCTTGTGAGTATGTCTCAGGACCTTGAAAGCCAGCCAGAATGCTACATTTTTAGGAGGTGCTAGAAGTGATACGGAGGTTGAAATGGAGAGGTGTGTGTTAGACACAGCAGAGACCTGTTTCTTGATCAAAGTCTTGTTCACAGCAGCCCCTATGTTATGGGACCCTTAGAAAACACCTCCCCTTCTCTAAGATCCCTTCCACTGCCCCAAAAGCTCATCAGTTGATGAAGCCAGCATGGAACTGGTATCAAAGAAGTGACACTACCAAAAAAAAAATGCCAGCCCTCTCAAAGTCATCTTCTTTGGCCATAGAAGTGAGGGAGGCCACGCTCAGTAGGCAGGAACTGTGAGCTAGTGGTTCATGACTCCATTGTGTCATGTACTGAACCCAACATGGGGTCGTGAAGCTAGACCAGATGATGTTTGGATCAGAAGAAATCAAGAAAGGGCAAGTCTCCTCTTCTGCAAACCAAACCTGAGCCTGAGGGAGAGTGGGAGATACCTCTATTGCTTCTGGACCTATTAAGGTGATATGGCAGCTAGCAAAGTCCATGTTGCCTTAGGGGTAAAGAAAGGGAGGCCCAGGCGATGGAGGCCACTTGTTGCCCCTCTCCTTTCCTAGATCAGACTTGTGTAATCTCATCAGTAGACTTTAATTCATTCTCTTAATATTGATTTATCAGCATCATCATGTCTTTGCAATTTGGTATAGAATCCGTGAAATGGAATGCCATGTATTAAATGGAAGCGTTGTGAATCGCTGAGGTGCTTTAATGCCTGCAGTTACCAAGGTGTCCCTCGTCAGCGGGGAGTTTTATGCTGTGTAAACTGAATCTCAGATGTCAGTTGATTGATGAAAGTTGAAAAATCTGCCACAGTTTGAAGAAAATGAAAAATAAATGACTTTATTCAAAATGGATTCAAACTCGCTGGTCAATTTGGGAGTAATAACAAGGGGAAAATTATCTGTTGAAAAGTAAATTTTGGACACATTAAAAAATTTAAATAAGGCCTTCTTCCAAGGTCCATTTGCATCAATAAAAGTCTTTTCACTGACTTCGGCGGGTATTGGATCGGGGCCTAAATTACCATCTTGTAAATGTGGAAAGTTTGCAGTATGTTGGAACAGTACTGTATTCAAACTCCATGTATATATAAGTCTTACACCCCACTTCTTGAATTATAGGAATTTTGAGAAAAGCTTGCTACAGTAATATTGAACTGCAAATAATCTGGAAACTCTTCAGAAATACTAATATAAGAAGTAAAGAATCCATTAATAATTGTATGTGTGAACTAGATGCCATTTCAGAAGATGATAATACAATGTTGGTCATCTCAGATGCTGCAAGTCTTAGTCATCTTAAAGAAACTTTGAAGGTTTATCAGATGCCAGTGAAAAGTGAAGGTAAATCTTACTGATTACTGATAAATGCCACCTAATATTTGTCAAGTCCTTTAGCTTTAAATTAAACACAACACATTGTTTTCTTTCATTTCCTGCAGAAGTTTTTGGGGTTTGGTAACGTGTTTTTATCTCTTGATCTATGTCTGAGATCTCCTCCTACGAAGAGGACCAGTACAAGTCTCTTGCCCCACTACTTCTTACTCTCAAAAATAGCTCTATACAGGGTTTGCAGATATTTTTAATGGAAAGCTTTTTTAAGTCAAGAAAAACACATGAGCTTTCAAAAAGACTATAACAAGTCTTTCGTTAAATTGTTACATGAGATGTTCAAAACTGTACCAAAGCTTTGTTATAATGGTTTCCTTATTAGGTTATTTCCTCTTTGTAAGGGACATTGAATACCACGTTACAAATCACATATTTTACCTGTGTTCTTCTCTGTTAACAATTGGCAGAGTGTAGTTGCTGCAAACATTGTTTTCTTTTTTGTGTCAGTAAGGTCTTGGTATTGATTTTTGCCTACTCATTGGTCAATAATTGTTTGTTTAACCAAACCCTGATGATGTTTACTAGTTTACCCTCCACTCCCAGATTTCTTGGGTCCTCACCTGTTATTCTGATCAAAAAGAAAAGATAAAGATAATAACAGAATCATTTACATTTCTTACAACAAATTAAAATCTGTCAGTTGGAGGTGTATACTCTCCAGCCCCAGTGGTTAAAGGAGGGCTCTGCAGAAGAAATGTTTTTAATATGAAGTGTTTCCATGTGTCAGAGCAGGGAATGTGTAACCCTTCAGCAGCATTCAGGTGACAGAGACCAAATCTAAAGTACTTACTTTTGTTTGTGTCTGGCTGGTTCTGGTGTTAGGATGGCACAATTCATCATATGTGGGTTTTTGTCACAAGGGCTCCTACTTTAGAAGTTTCAGAGGCTGCAGAGATGAGTAACCATTCTTTACCATGTTACTTTCTGGCAAAATAAAAGATCACAAGTTGCACTTCTCCTATCAAAATGGAATGTTTTATCTGTTTTAAAGTATCTCTTGATATCTATGTAAAGCAATTTTTCTTTCTTTTTGAAAGACCTGAATGCCAGTTTATCTTTAAATGCTATTTGGAACGAGAAGGAACATTCTCTGACAAGTTACTTGCAGTGCAGGAGCTGCGTCCTTCAGTCAGTGTGTCCGTGTCCTTTGATAGGAGCTGAGGTTACTCATTTCAATAATAAAGTACAGTCATGGGTAAGTGAAATTAGTTTATTTTGTATATTAAAATGATTACTGAATTACTTTTATAGGAACTATTAAAACACCATTTCTGTAAAGGTAGAATGAAAATTTTATTTTATCTATGTGAATTGTATGTGATTCATCTAATTTCTGCCACAGAGATTTGAAGCTGTTCTTAAGAGCAGAGTTCAGGTCACTTTAATAGATTTGTAATTGTCTATACCTAATTTGATGCAGTCTCTACAGTGTTACATCTTATGAAAAGGGGTAGGAAAATGGGCAGCAGCTATCCATGTCTTCCACGAAAGGAAAAGCAGAACAAAACGTATTTGCACAAGTGATAGAATCAGACTTGAATTTTCAGACATGGAGTTTTATGTTATTTGTGGCACTAGCAAAAATGTTAATCAGACCCTGATGGATGAACAAAGACAAGGTCTAAAGGAGTCAACAGGAAGAAATTTTCTTTTTTATAGGTATTGTATTTCCAACAATATTAGCAAACTACATTCTCAATAGAATTCTTTGAAATCTAGACAAGAAAGCGATGTGTTCTTTTACTGTACTCTAATGGCTTAGTTTAAGATAAAAGGCTCCATCCTGAATGAACTGTGCAGGTAACTTAGTTTAAGATAAAAACAGAGGGTGAGGCTCCATCCTGAATGAACTGTGCAGGTAACCTTAGGATACCTATGCCTTTCCTGAATTTATTCTGTGGATATAAATTTAATTGAATTTAATTAGAGATTTTTGAGAGTAAAGCTTTGCCAAAAACTGAATACAATCCTTACGTTTTGGCCTCTCTGCATCATTATCAAGTGTACAGGCTGTTTGAAATGCACTGTATGACAGTGTGACGATGGAATAGAATTTATGAATCATTATATGCCATGAATGTTGGCATTTCAAACACTATTGGGAAGATTTCATGGTATTTTAGCATTCATTTAATATCAAAGATAATGAGATGTTACATTGAGGGAATGTATACTGCAAGAATATGAAATAATGGGTTCCTCTGAGGTATAGCGAACTGATTTCTTGTTTTACCTTTTTAATAGTCTTTTTCTGTACATTTAAAGCAAGGGGCTCTGTAAGACTGCCAGGGAATGGTAAACTGATTTCTTGTTTTATCTTTTTAATAATCTTTATCTGTACATTTAAACAAGGGGCTCTGTAAGACTGCCAGGGAATGGGAAGTTTTGTGTTCCTCTTCTTTGTTGTTTCCCATGAGTGGCTGTGCAAACTGCAGCAGCTTATTCACATCAGGTGGGCAACCAAAGAGGGGACTGGCTGCCTCTCAGCCCAGGTCTGTTGTTTCCCATGAGTGGCTGTGCAAACCACACACCAGCAGCAGCCCATGAAGTGGGCAACAGAAGAGGGGACTGGCTGCCTCTCAGCCCAGGTGCATCAATAGAAATGTGGAATCAGCTGGTATTGGCTTTAAAGTGTTGTGTTTTTATTAGTGTAAAAGAAACAAGTTTTATGTTCTTAGCCTACCCGTAGGTTTAAATTCTCCCTCTGTTTCTTTTAGCTAGCAAGACACTGTTAATTGCTGCAGGTTTTCTGAGTAAGTCTCTTCCTTCCCTATTCTTTCCTTATATTCTGTTTCTATCCACTAGAAAGAAATCTCAGTGAACTTGTAGGCCTGGAAGAGCAACACAGGCTAAAAAAGACCACATCTGGCTTTGGGGAGCCGTTCTGAGAGCTTGGGGCTTTCAGTAGAGAGTCATCTAATCTCTTAATGCAGGCCTTTGTTTCAAAAAGGGGCTTGGGGAAAAAAAAATACCCCGTCATCTTCAATAGACCTGTGAAACGATTGTCAGAACTGGCATCTCTGCTTTGGATCCGTTGCAAACTGTGTGCCCTGTGTCTACGTTAATATCCCGGGTGACTTGAGTGGGAGAGGAAGGAGGCTACTATTTTTTATTGAGGTTTTTTTGTGTGTGTTGTGTGAAAATAATGTTACTTATTTAGAAAAGTGGAGTGGACTGGGGATGATGAGCAGTGGTAGAGGTAAATACGGCTTTAATTTTATCATCTCCTCGCTTTAAATCAAATGCCTGTTGTTTTCTTGTTATTGGGGATATATGAATGTAAATGAAGACATACAGAATGAGTGAAAGGAGTTTAAAATGATGATTTATTATATGCTATCATATGCCAGAGCAAACGCATATGCATTAAAGTGAAGAAGCTGTGATTAAGTCAGTTTTAGCTCCCAGTTATATATTTCTGAATACAAGATCCTGCTGTTATTGAGCAATATATTTGTAGAGATAAAATCAACATTGTAGTTTATACTGCTGCCTACCCTGTGTTAAATCATGTACATTGACATGAGGTATCACATGTCATCTTAAATTACTTTGTGTCATGTGCTGTCTATAAATCAAGTGCAGTTGGTTCTGGAAGGCAAGGAATTGTTCATGTAATAGAAATCACATTGCTATAGGAAAGCAAGCTTAAAATAGAATCACTGGATTTAATATCAGTAATTTACTCCTAGATTTGGTAATCATTTAAAGAGGCAACACTGTATTTTCATTACTTAAGGTGCATTTAACAAGTCACGTTTTTATAATCTTTTTTTAAAACTACTTTTCTATCAATTATACATTTATATTTAAAATTAGATTTTTAAATTTACTGCTACGTTTCTAAAAATTCAATTACATCATGTGTTTGCCATTGACCTAGAAACCTCCATTAACTTTATGTGAAATCAGTGGCATATAGATTAATGTTATTATTTTTTTTTATATTCCTTCAAATACCCTGAATAATTGTATATTCCTGTTTGCAGTAGACTTTGTGACATGGTAACAACTTTGTAGGAGACGGTACTTTGGAACTAACAGAAAATATTTTGGTACCATAAATGCAGAGGGCTTGGGGTGCTTTAAGATCTAGCTTAGCTAATGGAATAAATTGTCTTTCATATGTTAAAAGGTGAACGAAACTCTTGACAATTAAAATTTTTAAACTTATTAAGGAGTTGTTGCTATATAAGTGATTAGACAGTCAGCTGTTGAGACAGTCGCTTTTTATATAACAGGATATTGTTTTGTTCATCATGTTACCACATTTGGCAAACTTTTATCTTAATGCGCCTATCGGGAATACCAGTCTGACCTCAATCTGAGTAAAGCCTTAATAGTCGACGTGAGGGATGCTGCAGGAGGTGGCACGGTTCATTTTCGCAGACTGTATATTTGTTATCGCATGTTAATCAGATTCATCATTCTGTTTAATAAAGATTTCATCTGCCACGCGAATGCATAATCGGCTATGTCTGAGTGCCCGTCTTTTGTCTTGAGCAGATTGCTAAAACTGTATTAAGCATCATTAGACAAAAATGACGACCTTATTAATTTGTCCTTTATGTGTTTTCCAGCAGATTGGACCTCATTATTATGCAAACACAGTACACAGAGCAGCACCAGAAGTAGCTCATTAATGTTTCTTTCCCTTAGTACGTAACAGATTATTATTGTGAAGTGTGCATGAAATAATTGCTAATTATGTGCCTTAAATTGTACAGTGATTGTCTCCCTAGATTTTTTTCATGCGGTTTAAGAGCACAGTGGAAGGCCATCAGAAGCTACAGGTTAACGGCGCCGACGCGAGTAAACCAGAGGAGGTGAATCACAAAACATGCATTTTATCACACGTTTTCCTGCCAATAAAGAGTAATTAGGACAGCTATGGATTGCTTTGTAGTTACCTCTCACTGTGCTTCTTATTGTAAAAGAAATGACTGTCAGCTGGCAAATCATTTAATAGATATGTCTGCCAGCGAATAGATGCGGGGCAGTTTGAACCATTGACTGCTAGTAAAAAATCCTGGAGATTCTGAAATGGTAATTCCCCAGTTAGTACCATTTCCTTATTTACACACCACTAAAATCATACATATTTCCAAACACTCTCCTTTTCTACCATACGTTTTCCCAGCTTTGTTTTACATTTCATACAAGCTCTCTGTTCGGTATAATTCTCCTTTAAATTTGTTAAGCGTGATAGAAATTACATGTTAGGATTTGGCATTCGTCTGTAGTTTGACAACTTTGTGCTAAGTGTGTAATTGGTTTAAGCTGGTGGTGCTTCGTACTTATCCACGGCACATCTTCTGTAATCTGTCTGCCACCGTAGCTGATAAGACTTGGCCACAACTGAAGTTTTTGCAGCGCTAGAAATAAAATCCTGATCCATTAAGGGTTTGCCTGGATTTAGCTTTATAATCTGGTTTAGAAATGGTGAGTGGTCAGATCTTAGATACAAGCTTTGTTGTCGAAAAGATGCCATGAAAACCATTACATCAGCTTAGATTTTCTTAACGTTACTCTTGTTGATAATATAACCTAATATATATATATATCAAAACATATATATATATATATATATTTTGTACCGTGACTGTTTCTGTAACAGAGTATTTGTGACTGGCAATTCTTTATTATATATGAGCATTGAAACAGATATTTTTGAGAGGGGGATAATAACATGCATCTGACATTACTTACAGTAAATAATTTTAGAGTCTGACTGCATTTGGTTGGTGTTAAATAGTTGCTTTTGTCAGCTGATACCATCATTTAGATCCGGTGCCTGCTTCATACAAACTAACATAAATTGGGCATGTTAGTTGTAAATCATTCTTTAAACACTTTGCATGGAATAGATCGTTACTGAATATTTACAGAGGGCAGACACACTTCCAAAAAATCAAAATTCGGTTCTGTGGAGACCAAATTCTCTTTGCTGTTAGGTATATGGATATTTACTTGATAAATCACTTGACTGGTAAAAATGGAAAATAGCTGGTGTGGCATTGCAGAAATAATTATTTATTTTACTTGGATTATTTGAGATGACTGAGGAAATACTGCTATGGCAGGTGCACTATTAATATAGATGTTCTGCAACCATGGTTATTATAATTTTTAATAAATGCTTTCTAAATTTTCAGTGATACTATTGTACGCTGCTGTGTATGTTTGTGATATAAAGCAAGCACATATAGACACACTCCTTTCTATAAGAGCATGTGGAACTGTTGCAGGTATTTGTTCCTTCACAATCTCTGTTTCTCTATTCCTATAAAATGACACTTTCTGCTCTGCTTTTTTGCTTTCCCTGCTACTTTGAGTTTCACTGATCTCTTAAGTTACCAATTTTGATTATATGTCATGACTGAATCTAATCTGTGTTATTTTCCTGTGTGTGATTTTATTTGACACAAAGCCTGTACCTCCACCACACCCGTTCTTGAGCACTTGTGTGAGGCTTGTTGGGGATTTCTGAGAGATAACGTGACCTGGGGACAGACAGGCCAGGGGATACCAGAATTTACCTGAGTTTACGTTTAATGGATTAAATATTTTCGGAACACCTGGATGCACAGTCAGAAGGGAAAGAGCCATAGATGACCTTGGAAAAGGTCTTTTGTGTTGCTGCTTTCTGCTGGTGCTGGAACCAGTTGTCTCCCAGGAATTGTCTAAATGTCTTAACTTATTCTTGACACTGAATGTGTTCATTTTCACTTGGCCAAAAACATGTTTACCCCTTCTCTCCTCCTCACTGGGTTCCATGCTCTTTTCGGCTGACGCTGCTGCGTGACCTGTCTGAAATGCGTTGGAAGTACTCGCAGGCTGCCTCTGCCTTTCTCATTGAAAGATTGCTTGCAGACTTTGTAGATATTGTTATTTGCTGAACATGTGGCCTTGTTAAGAAAAAATGGGTTTATAACTCTGGGAGGAAGAGTAAATGGCTCTGGATACTGGTGTGTGCCATGTTGTCGTTGCAAAATTTTCCGTGTATTTATTATCATTCCCGTACTCGCTATTCTTTGATAAGGCTGAAAGATCTAGGTATCATGTATTTATTATCATACCCGTATCACACTGTTCTTTGATAAGGCTGAAAGATCTAGGTATCAGGGACTGAATATTTTATTCTTTAATGAATTCCTTGAGAGTTATATTTCAGTGAAGCTAAATCCTGTTAATGAGAAATACCTGTCAACCTCTTGCAGTTCACGGATTCATGGATTTGACAGAGTTGGAAGGGACCTCTGGAGATCATCTAGTCCAGTTACTAGTCC